TAATGCAAATTTCACATGTACATTTAGAATGTTATGTTTCCTGCCAACCAATGTCATTTGGTGTGATTGTGTCCATTCAACATCCTTTCTGCTAATAATTAGTTATATACAGAAAGGGAAATCAAAACCAGCAGAAACAATGACTTGAGATACAGACAATTCACAGGAGTGTGCTACTGTCAGGCATTAGAGATTTAAATGCAACTGTTCTTTGCCAGACAGTTTTCTCCAGTGTCTCCAATAACCATTCAGTTGCAAATCACTTTTACCTCTGCAATGGTCCAGTGACAGGTATCAGGATGTCCAAGGTGTCCTTTTCACTATGATGGTGAACATCTCCGGGGCAATCTGCCCAGCACACCCCAACCCTTAGGTAAGAAATAACCCTTCCCCACCTCTAAAAACACAAATTCTGGGCTCTCCTGGGACCCTGCCCCATCCCTCCATCCCTAGTTGTTGGTCCAGAGTAGACCTCATGGCTCATGCTGGGCCATTCCTGATGGTCCCACCTCCTGGGAACTGCCTTAACCCAGGCTAAACCAGAGCCTATCCCTTATTTCTGTGTCTGTTTCCCCTTTATTGGTTTATGGAGGTACCAATGATATATAATGAATCACACATAGTGTAATAAAGTGTGATACAGTTTGACATATGTACACGCTGGTGGAGCCATCATCCCCAAAAAGATAATGAGCATATCTAGGATCCCCAAACATTTCCTTGCGCCCCTCTGAACTCGGTCCCTCCCTCTCTCCTGCACCCCTGCCCATCCCCGGGCAACTGCTGTCCACTTGATCAGATTTGTTTGCATGTTCTGGGATTCTATATCAATGAAATCGTACACTATGTAGTGTTTTGGTCAATTGGTTTCCCCACTTACTCAACTCTCAGGAATTTTTTCAATAAGCACTTACTGCACACCTACTATGTGCCAAACACTATATGGGGCACTGTGCAGGGCTTATAAATAAGAGTAAAGCACAAAATAGAGTGAGCAACATCAGAGGCAGGGAAAGAGACCAAGAGAGGGACTCTGCCAGAGGAGATAGGGAGGAGATACAAGGCACTTAACACAGAGCGGGGCGTACCACTCCCCCAGCTCCGCCCCCAGGGAGGCGGCAATTGACAAACTATTTTTATTGAGCTTCTCTACAAAGAAGCTTCCCTTTTCTTCACTAGTGTAGATATTTTACATCATCTCCAGGGGAAATGAATCCATGACAAATAAAATTACTCATGTGAATAATTAATAGTACCTGACATTTATACTACTCCCACCAAAAGTTAAAATTATATCTCTTATTACTCTGTAAGTAATATCTGTAATTCTGCTCCACAGAAATCCATCACGCTTCCCAGAGTTCCAAAAACCAAACTATCTGCAACTACATTCGAAATAAAATTTCTGATTCTGCAACAGAATGACGCAGAATCAGACCCGAGAAGCTAGCAGTCTTCCATTAATCCATCCACCACAGAAATTTGCAAAAATGTAAAAGTTGTTTTGAAGTTGTTACAAAAAGTTTAGAAGTTTAGGCATTCTTCTGAAGTTCTTTTACTTTGGAAAATAGTCACTCTTCATCTCTGGCTCTGAGACAACTTTAAAGGGGGAAGCCCACCCAGCTCTCCAAGTGTAGGGCAGGGGCAGCAGGAATGCCTCCACTCTGGGCATAACGGGCTGGCTAATCACTGATCAGAACACAGGGGTAGCCAGGGATTCAGCTCAAAGATGCCCACAGCATGCAGCATAACAGGAAATAACAGACCACATGCAAACACAGCCATCCCTTTACATTATCATTGCACAATGATTTCCTGGAATTCATCGTTTTAGGACAAGATTTCTCAGTCTTGGCACAACTGACGTGTGGGGCTGCTAATCTTTGCCGTGGGTGGCTGTGCTGTGCACGCTGGGATGTTTAGCAGCACCCCTGGCAAGGTCTCTACACGCTGTCAAGGGTCCCCCGAGGGAGCAAAATACACACCCACTCCCCAGCTCTGGTTGAGGACCATAGCTCTACAGGAAATTTTTGCGAGAGGTTATAAGCCAATATTTCTTTTCCTAAAAATACAAAGAATGTTTTCTTTGAGCTAAATTCGATACAGAGTACAGAAATACTACACTTCCAAAAATCTCAAAAAGAAAAAACAACAACCCACAGTCATGTAAGAAGTTAACAGCGTTTATAGAAACATATCATTTTTCTGTAAATCTAAAACTGATCTAAAAACTAAAGCTTGTAAAAAATACTTTTTAAAAATTAAAATGAAAATAGAAAGGCTGGGAGAGAAAGAGTAAAACAGAGTGAAAACCCTCTCTTCCCTGAGCAGCTTCCCTCCAGGAGCCCCTTCGAAGGAAGGCACCTGGACACATCTCCTGGGTTACAGCAAGACATGGGGCGGCGAGAAGGAAATAATGAGGAAGTGAGAAAACAAAATTCTCCTGCCTTCTTGTAAACTGAAACAAACAAACCAACGACTACATGCTTTTGTATTTCTTCTGACCTCTTTTGTATTTCTTCTATCCCAACAGACCCCGTCCCCTGTCCTCCGCAAGCACTTCCTGTATCCCTGAGCAGTTGTTTGCTCTGGTGTCAGAGCCCCTGGGGCCCTTTGTGTATCTCCCCAAGATGGACTGTCCTTTATCTGTTTACCAGTCTCCCCCTCCTGGCAACACAGGTCCCTTGCTCACACAGGCAGGCAGGGGCTTGGACTCTGTGGGCCCCGCCCTCTCAGACCCCCTCCACCTGTAAATCCACAGCCTTCAAACCCACTGCTAGGTGCTTAATAAATGCTTGGCGAATGACCGCAAGCAGGGCTGGTACTGACTTCAGCCAAAGGGCGTAGGGGTGGTCGAGGCCCACACAGGGCAAAGAAGGAAATGTCAAATTAAAGTCCCTGTGTTCCCAGGGGTGATGGAGGGACGGACCAAGTGCTGGGGTGTGAAGATGGGATGGGGCACGTGAGGATCTGATTCACACACCCACAAAAAGGTTTACACCTTATTTAGTGGCCTCATTCTACAAAGGAAGAAACGAAAGCTCAAGAGATCAGATGGCTTGTTCAAGGCCACACAGTTATGGCACTAGCCCAGCTGAAGGAGACCTAGACCCAGAGCTAAGTAACCCACCTCCCCCTCTTTGTTAAGTGTGTCTAAGGCTGAAAGAGTTATTTAGTAACTGATAACAATAGCTAGTATCTACTGAGCATCTGGGGGGTGTCAAGCCCACACTAAAAGTCCTCGGATTACCCCCAGGTTACAGTGACAAACACTGAGGTCAGAGAGGAGAACAGCCTGCCACCAAGGTCACATGGCTAATCAATCTCAAAATCTCCCTCAAACTGTCATACTCCAAAATTCCCCTGGGATTAATTATCACACACTGAAGTTTACTGGTATACATCCAAGTGCAAGTAAAACCAGAGGACTCTGAACAAGAGCTGTGAAATGTATCAATATCCATACACTAGTTATGATACTGTGCTACTTACTGTTTTGCAAAGTGTTACTATTGGGAGAAACTGGGGTAAGGAGTATGCCATAGCTCCCTGTATTCATTCTTACAATTGTATATTATAAATACACAATTATCTCAATTAAGAGTTTCAATTTTTAAAAAATCTTGCCTGCTGGAAAGCTGCCGGAAAGAAATCCATGTTTCTTTCACCAAAAATATGCAATTTCCAATGTCCCCAAAGCCAGTTCTTTTTCTACCATACCACACAATTACTTCAAAAACCAATGCAAAATTAAGTCTGAGCAAAGGAAAACCAAGAAAATAGCCCTGTTACATAGCATTCTGCCTTGCTGGCCACTTTGAGTTCCCTCAGAAAAGTATCCTAATTGATTTTTTTGCATTAAATTGACTTCTAGGCCCCCCCCTCAAAAAAGGGGGGGGGGGAATGTGACTCTACAAAATGTTCTCTCCCACCAAATAATCTCTCCTTATCTCTGTGTCACTGCTCCCTGCCACCCTCAAAAAATGTTTAAATTTTCCATTCTAAATCTTCCTTGAAAGAAGCAGCACCAAATCACTGGCCCTTTATGCCAGTGCCCAAATGGTCAGCGACTACTGGAAGGCAGAGCAAAGCAGTAAATAAGGCAGTGGGTTAGAGGCTGAGACAGATCCGTCAAGGTGTGACCGTGGCCAGGCTCCTTAAACTTGAGTCCTGCCCTGGCCGGATCGATCAGTCGGTTAGAGCGTGGTCCGATGCGCCAAGGTTGCTGTTCGATCCCCGGTCTTCCCTCTAGGCATAGGAAGAATTCAGGGAGACAATCTTTGTGCCTGGCGCTAATATTTACACCGTCCTCTTTCTCTCTTTCTGTCTTTTCCCATTCCCCTTAGTAACAACGGAACCAAGCTCATTTTAAGTTCACCAGGCCACAAAGTAGTCGCCCCCGGCAACCCCCTCCTTGCTAAGGTTGGTAGACAGCCCAGAACACTGCCGACCTGCATTCTCTCCCATTTCAAACCCAGCAAATCCCACCTACCCACTAACACAAAGGAAAATCGGTTGGCCTCCGGGCACTGCCACCTGCCCAGCAGCCCCGATGCAAAGCGATCCGCGGCTCGTCGGGTTCGGGCTGTTCCTATTATTAGTGCTGCTTAATAACAGTGTCTAACGGGGCGTGAGGGTGACCGTCTCCGGAGTGATGTCGGCGAGCCCTCCGGGAGAGCCCACAGCGCTTCTGATGCAGATGTCTGGCTAAAAATCCCAAGAATGTATAAAACAGCTTTCCCGGCAGTAGAAAGACAAGAGTTGCAAAGTTTCTGGAGGCGCATTTTTCCGCGTTTCCCCAAATCGCAATGCAGACGCCTGGTCGCCCGCGATTGGGGGCGACCGGGGCGACCGCGGGTCACGACTGGGATCGTGCACGGGTCCGACGCACGCTTCCCGGCCGGCCGACCGCCGGCGAGAGGACCCGGCGCCCCAGCCCAGCGGGGAGGGGAGGGGAGGGTGCCCCCAGGTACAGCGGGCTTGGGGGCCGACGCACTCACCGTCCGTGCTCCTCTTCGCCTCCCGGTAGCACTGCCACAGGTAGCGCTTCATGTCCGGAGCGGTTCCAGGTGCGGTGCACAGGGGCCGAGCGGAGCCCGCACGCAGCGCCCCCCCGGCCGCAGTCCGGCATCCGCTCCGCAGGGCCGCCGCCACCGCCCTGGCCCAGGCCCCACGGGCCACCACAGCCGCCGCCGCGGTGGCCATGCTCGCCTCCGCCGGGCTACGCCTGGCACCGCGGGGCCGGAGCTCCGCCCGCACCCAGTGCTGCGGGCAGGCAGCTCCCTGCGTCTGAGCACGTGGCGGCGCGGCCCACCCCTTCAGCCGCGGCGGGGCGGAGCATCTACGGGGGCGGGGCGGGAAGGGGCGGGGCAGTGGGCGGGGCCTAGTGCTCAGAGGCCGGGGCGGGAGAGGGGGCCGGAGTAGGGGCGGGGCCCGGGTGGCAGGGGACACGCGCCCAGTTGGCCACGGTCACTTCTTGGCCCTGCGGCGTACTCGAGTGGCCGTGCGGTTGGGCGGACGCCGGGTCAGGCCGAGGCCACATGGAAAGGGATGACTCGTTGCCGGCCTTGGGCCACTAAACGTGACCCCTGCGCCGCCCGCAGAGCTCCGCAGCATTTTCCTCCCGCGGCCGGTGCCTGTCCCCTCACTCTGGAGGTGACCTCTCTCCACATTAATGACCTCTGAATTCTGGATCTCCCCTGGATCGCGGGAGTGGGTCTGGGACGTCCCCAGATCCCCAGATTGGATCCTTTCAGTACTGTGGTGAGGGAGCGTCTGGGCTGATTCGCTCGAAAGGCACCCCCCACTGCATAACCTGGAAGGCCAGCGCCCCTCAGGAGATTTCTGCCTAGCTGGGGAGGCCATTGGGACACTGCCACCCAGCTCCCGCACGCATTCACCGGCATGGTGCACTTGTCTTTTCTCAGCCCTGCTAGGCTGTCCCTGTTTTGTGCATTGTGGTTCCACCAAGGTCAAATAAACAGCAACCCCCACCATGCAACATTTCTGCATGTCTCAGCTCCTGCGGGAAAGACTGATAAGGCCCACCCAGGACCCCACTGAGAATCACTGAACTGCGAGGACTCCCGAAGCTATTAGCTACTGTTGAGCAGGATTGGGTGAGGGGAATAACTCTCAAGCCCGGCACTCTGCCTGGGAGACCATACTGTCATCCACGAAATAGGTGTGGAACGACTGAAGACAAACAGCACAAAGCTTTAGTGTAGGCTTTAGCTGCGGCGGGGAGGTTCAGGAGATGCTTCATGGAAAAAGGTGGCCTCTGGGTTAAACCATGACAGATAATAACCACTACTGATTGAAGGGTACACTGTGTGCACTCTCTCAGGCAGTAATTCAGTAATCCTGAAAACGTAGGTGCATAGTTTCTCCCATTTCATAAATAATGAAACTGAGGCTGAGAGAAGTGAAATAACTTTCCTAAGATCACGCAGCTGAGCTGATTCTTCCCTTTGGCTTCCTAATGTATGAAGTAGGATTTAGTTGGGTGTTAAGGAAGAAGGTAGCCAATAAGTAATCCTTAACAGTTAATGGGTAGTATCAGACAAATCACTGATAAAATAAGAGGTCATTAAAATGCTTAAAACATATATGATTTCAAGTCCATGGACTCTAAAGCTTTTTTAAATTTATTTTTTAAAGCTTTTTTTTAAAGCTTTTTAAAATTTATTTATTTATTTATTTTTAGAGAGAGGGGGGAAGAAAAGGAGAAAGAGAGGAAGAGAAACATCATGTGTGGTTGCCTCTCATGTGGCCCCCACTAGGGACCTGGCCTGCAACCCAGGCATGTGCCCTGACTAGAAATCGAACCAGCAACACTTTGGTTCGCAGCCCGTGTTCAATCCACTGAGCTACACCAGCCAGGGGTGGGCTCTGTTACTTTAAACTTTATGGCCTTAGTTTATTCTAATGTATATCTTTTCTTATTTGTGTTTCATTAAAAAGTTTGGGTGATAGCAATTGTTTACAAGAAAAATTAACTCATAAGTTAAAAACAGATAAACTGTAACAATATAAAGCTAACATGAAGTAGAGCTTTATAGCATTGCTTCACTACACTTCTAGATACAGAACCCTGTGCGATCAACACTCACATACCTACCATAGAAATGTGAGTCACTTAAAAATTGTTCTTCTTAGCCAAAATCTGTTACAGTATTTTTAAGCAGCTAAAAATGTATACATCTCATCAAAAAGTTCTAAATAAAGTAAGCAGAAAAAAATTACAGACACGGAAGAGCCCATGATCATTTTAATTCTTTACTAGCATCCTTTGAGGTCCTCAACAAATACTGAGATCTCTGCAAAAAACACTTCTGAGGAACAGAATGGTAATCTGGCCTGTGAAAAAGCCACTTTTCTGAGATGAGCTCTGTTATGGGTTCAGAAGGATAGTTTGTGCTAAGAGGCCATAGCAGGCGATGCTGGTACCTGTTGGTGACTTGCCCAGTTCCACTCCCCACATCAGCTGACAAAATCCTTTGCTGTGAAAGCTTTACTACATCATCCTCTGTACCCATAGATAAAATCTTAGAAAAATAATCTTTACTTTTCTCTGATGCTTCTTTTTCTGGACCATTCTGTATTTCAACAGTATTTTGTGTCTTCTCTTGGGTCTTTTCCTCAGCAGAAATAGAAACAATGGGTCTCAAGACCTTTTTCTTCTTTCTGGAAGCAATTTTTGATTTATCTGAAATTGTAGCAGGTGCCAACTCTGTGCTTTTAGCCCTCTGCAGCTTATCTGCATTTGTGCACATCGCAGAACTCACTGTATTAGGACTCTGGGCGCTGTGGTAGTTTAACCTCAGCAAGTGCTTCCACAAGGAGGTGCCGTTCCTAGAACCCTCAGCAGCTTGCCAGCTCATGCCTTGAGGCCAAAATCTCCTGCCCCGGATCCATTCAATTTCCCTTACAAGACTGCAAAAGATCAGAAATTGTCAAGAGGTTATGCACAAGACAAGGACAACCAGGAAGCATGTTTCTTTTTGAGACACAGAAGGGGAACTCACTGCAGGATTCCATGGACTGATGAATGAGAAGACCCCAGGGAAGTCGCCCTTAAATCGAGTGATCTGTACAAATAGCCCAGGGCCTCAATCATGACGTGGTGACTAGAGTCGCTTATCAGTAACTGACCTGCTGGATATTGGAAAATAAGAATATCAGTACCTTTAAAAATTACTCCTGACTTCACACATTTAAGAGAGAAGAATAAAAAACATGTATCGACGGTGGCATTGGAACATCACCTTTCCTAGTATTTCTGCCAAACACATTTAACCTGAGTCTACTTACAAGGAAACAGACAGGTACAGACTGAAGGACATTGGAGCAGGGAGGGCAGGACAAAACCTGACTCTTCACAAATGTCAGGGTCACGAAAGACAAAGCCAGCCCACTTAAATGCCCTAAAGGACACAGCCAAATGCAACCAAGGGTCTTATATAGGGAAACAGCTAGGACACTTGGGGACATTTGAATGCGGATGCACGGTAGATGATAGTCTTACCTAATGGCCAAGTTACCGGGGTTTGATCATGGGTTGTCGTTATGTGGGAGGATGCACTTGTTGTGCTCAGAAGACACAGGCTGAAGTATCTAGAGATAAAAGTGTCCTATCTGCAACTTTCAAATGGTTTAAATAGAACTATGGTTGTGTGTGTCTGTGTGTGTACAAAAGACAGAGAATGCAAATGTGTCAAAAAGCGTTAACAATTGGTGTGAATACAGATGAACGTTATAGAGGTGTTGTTCATTATGCATCACCAGAGGCCACTGTCAATAATCTGATATAATTCTCTATAATGTGTTAAAAGTTAAAAAATGTACATTTTACAATCTAATTTGCAAGTGCTGTTCATTTATTCAATTTATCCATTCAATTTACCCATAAAAGGCAGCTTTTAAGGGGAAGAATTTACACCATTGATTACAAACATAATGTAAGGCTGATGGGGCATCGATCCGAATATGTAACAGAGAGAGAGACTGCTGGATATTAAGGCTGCAAAAAAACACTGACCAATGAATGACCCTGCCAGCATCCCTGTATTTACAACAATAAGAGCAAATTTATGTGAGTAATTACCATCCATCAGGCCTCTATAACCTTGTAAGGTCTAAGCTATCATCACCTGCCTTTTTCTTTTTTCATTTGCTCTTTTTACTAGGACACGCGCCCACATGGTTCAGAAATGAAAAAGTATAAAGATACAAAGTGACGAGTTTATCTCCCATCTCAGTCCCCATCTGTGCAATCTACTCCTAAAGTGCGTGTCCTTCCAGAGAATCTGTGTGTGTCCAATGTCTTTTAAAGAGGAGAAAACAAAGGAGTTAAGTAACTTGCTCCAGTTGCTGGGAAAACAATCCGGGGGGTCTGTCTCACGCCCAAACCCCTGCTCTTGACTTCTACACTAGGCTGCCTCTTCCCCACGACTGGCCTTCTGAGCACCAGCAGTGGCTCCCGCTTGCAGAGATGTTCTCTCTCTGCAAGCTCTGCTTCTTGAGTCATAGCCCAGGTCACACGTTGCCCGCAGCTTCTGCTGGAAATCTGATAGAGAGCTTCAGCTGTTGTCTCTACTGAGCAATCTGTGGCCATTTTTCTTCGTTTTGAATTATTGTCGTGACTCCCTGGGATGCTCTCAGCTGCCCCAGTCTAGCTCAGCGGAATGCTGAGTTCCCCCGCTCGGGATGGCCACGTTGCATTGGCCTTCATTGGCCTTAACAGGTGACAGTGAAGAAGAACAGAACCAGGAAGTCTCATGGCGTGGCTGAGCAAGAACTCATTCCCAGAAATCCTCTAGACAGCGGCAACCAGATTCCACAGACTGTTCATGGGGAGACTGAGGCTGTCACATGGATCAGCCGCTGCACACACCCTATTTCAGCCTCACGCCCCCTCGACTCTCCCTCGGTCGGTCACATACCTTACTTAGGTCCTCGGGATCTGTACCCTCATGACCCGTTCTGGATCGGTACCTAGGGATTTGACTTCAGAACGTTCTTGAACAGTCTGATTATTCTTTCTGGCACAAGCATAGTAGCTGCCAGGAAGGGACATCCTTGTCTCAGGCCCAACTCCAGTCCACTCTGTCCTCCCTCAGGGTCAGTACCAGCTGGGCAGCACTATGCAGCCTGGTGAGCCCTCCCAGCCCGGGGGGAAAAAAAAGGCCATGATGGGTTCATTTAACTTGGAGAGAGCCCACTGACCCTCCTCCCACTTCAAATCTTCATTGAGGATGTGTACACTGTTGGTTGTTTGGCAGATATCACCTCACTAAATCTTCAGAATAACCCACAGGCAGTCATTATTATTCCCTTTGACCGATAAGAAAATTGGGAGTCAGGGAGGTTATGTTCACAAGCCTAGAAAACAGCAGAACTAGGATTCAAATCTAGGTCCCTAGTATCCAAGGACCATAATTGCTAGAAGTCACATTGGTTCCTTACATTTTCTAAAAAAAAAAAAAAAAATACAGCTAGGAAGGAACCATCAGTTACTGTTTCCATTTTGTTATTCTCCATGGAGCCACACCCACTTTATTTTCAACCTTGTGTGAACTGAGGGTGGGAATGCAGGGGAAGGTCGAGCTAACTTCCTTGAAAATGTATTCCCAAATTTTCAATGGTGAGTTTTCCTAGTCCCCCCCACCTTTTTTCAGAACTAAATAAATAAAGTGGTATCTTTATTATTTCCTCTGGAAAGAGAAAGCACCCTGATTCATCCTCCCTTGCCTTTATTCATGCTGATCCTTCTTGCCCGGAATGCTCCGCCTCACCTTCTTCACCAGGCAGACATCTGTCAGGACTCACGGCCAAGCCACTTCCCCTGGGAAGTCTTCCTGTTGCCTGTTCTGCGTGCTTCCCCACGGCGGCTCTCAATGTCAGCCGTGGACGTTGCTATGGACGCGGACAGCACGTATCTCATTGGACCTCAGTTATCTCTCACATGCTTATCCTCCCAATGAAACCACAAACTCCGAGAGCCCACAGACATGGGAAGAGCATGGGATTCAGGTCAGAGGACTGAGTCTACTGCTTGCTGCCTTCGAGGTTTCAGAAAGCCACTGGGTCTTTCTGAGCCTCAATGATTCTAATGTCTAAGTCAAAGGATTCTCTGCTCATCTGCACTAGGGTGGGTCATATGACATATCTGCTATTCCTCTGGCTTTAAAATTAGCTGAAGAATCATCTAGAGTCCCTTCCAGGTTTAAAGACTGTCCCAGTTTGTGAGAGCTATTTGACTTATTCCTGCAACCAGGAGCATTTAGAAGTTTACAACCCACTGGAAATGATTAAACCCATACGACAAATGAAAAGGAAGCTCTGTTCACACAAGCTGGATTGCCGGATTAACCAGGGCCCTCTGTTTCCTCCACACACTAACTACCTGGTGCCCAAGGCACCCCACGTGCCTGCAACTGGCAGGCGCATCCCTACTCCACTGGCATCCTCTGCTCCTAACTGTTGGGTGCTAACATGACCTCGAGTCAATTGGGTTTGTCAGTCTAATTCTGGTCATTGAATTAAGCATGGTACAAACTAGTCACCTACGAGCATGAAATGAAAAAGAGTTGTTCTCTATGAAAAACAGGCTGAACGCTTTGAAATTCTTTCAAATTATGAAAGGACAAGGCAACCATAAAAAAAACTGTCCACTTAAATGGGGAGAAAAAGGTAGCAATCTAGAAGGATCTTGCACACACTGCGTCACAATCATCTACGTTCTCACTCCACAGAAGCCAAAATTAGAAATGGTGGGTGATGCATTGTGGGGAAATGGTGAGAAAGACGACATCTAACACCAATCCGAGGACCCATTAAGAAAAGACTTTGATCCTAAATTTAAGATTGGGGGCGGAAGAATTGCAGCTACATGTTTAAGTTAAAATTACAATGCAAATGTGGTCTACATCACTTACCTGACTTTTTGGATGAAGGCACCTCCTGCTACAGAGAAGTCTCTGGCTGAGCCGAGCCTTTTGAAACCAAATGTGAAGAGGACTGACTCACCCTAATGAACGTCACCCACTAGAGCCATTGTTTAATTTCTTCCTTCGACAGTGACTGAGAGGGCTGGCATTTCTTCTTGAAAACCACCCCGGGGAGAGGGAAGTCACATAATGTTCATCTACCACACTGCATCCAAAATAAACAATTCAGTACAGAAAGCTCAGCTTGACCCAGTGGAATATGAAAACCCACACGTCTGGTTTTTTTGCCCCCTGAAATGGTTGCTCCACAGGCAGATTTAAACCAGTTACCAGAGAAGGATAACAGTGAGATGGCTTTGTGTCAGAGGTAGCTTGAAACGTACATCACAAAAACCCTCTTTCATAGTCAAGATTAGTCCTAAAATCTCTAGAGTTAAGTTTTATTAAGTTAAGACGTGTCCTTGAAGCTGAGATGTTGAGTTAAGACATACCAGATATATAAGTTGAGATGAGATAAGCTGTAAAGGATCTATTAAACAGAAAGAGATTTCACTTTTGAATAAGTGCCTCACAAAACCGTGATGGGAAGAATTAAGATTTAGGATTGAACACCCTCTCTCAAATCCATCATTTTAACATGAGCTCACTATCATCTCGTGCATAAAAATAGTATGAGGATAATTAAAATCTGAGTTATCATGGCTGGAAACCCACTATTTGCATACCCGTTGGTGGATTACACAGTATTCTACACGTTCATCAAATGCAATAGTACAAGCCTAGGGAAGGCGCCAAGACTTTTCAAGCTAGCAGTTATCGTCGTTTATCTATAATCCAAACTGAATTCTAAAAAAATCAGTGGAAGATTACTGTTTTCAATAGGTTAAAATACCATTGAGGCCATTGCCTTTGCTGTTCTTAGCCTGGAGCCCAGCCAGCACTTCTGTTGCGTGCCCAGGCCCACTGTGCAAACACCCAGAAAGGACCTGCTCGCCCCCTCCCTCCCCTTCCTGCATCGATGGGAGCACCATTCCTGCTGCTTTTTGAAGATACGAAGAATACATCACAAGAACCTGTTCAGTCTGTTTAAGAGGTCAAAATACCCACATTGCAAAGAAACAGAACATGAGTGTCAGAAAAGGGTCCTTCGAGCCCCTTCATGACTCTGAAGACACAACACTGTTTTAGTATATTTATTAAAAATCTCGTGGGATGACTCAAGATGTGCCTCTGTGGTCTGTGGATTGCTTTCAGGTAAAGGCAAGTGAGACCCTTCAGGCTTCAGGGAAACTTCTACAGGGGACTCCCCTTTACCTACCTAGGAGAATGTAAATTAGGAGCCTACCAAAGATAACCTTTCTGACCTATCCATAAGGCAGGCCTCTCACTGTCTTTATCATCCCACAATGGCCTGCTGGTGCCACGATCTGGGACTTCCCAGCCTCTGAAACTGTGAGAAGGCAGGTCTTGCTGTTTGAGCCACCCAGTCTACGGTGTTCCATTAGAGTAGCCCCGCCAGACTGAGACACTTCCCTAATGAGGGAAGGTAAACAGGTAGCAAAAAAAAAAAGTTGAAAGTATGTGGAACAGTTGCTTGCTTCACAGATGACATCTTTTAAATAAGCAAAGTATGCCAGTGAGACGCCGAGAAGTCACCTGCTTCTAACAGGAACTAGACCAGAGCAGTTACCTAATTTACAACAGGTATCGCTTAGGCTGATGCTCAGCTGCTTCCTGACCAGCGAAGAATTGGCCAGAGTGATTGCATTTTCCTTTATTTTTACCACTCGTTTATAATATTCAATTGCTTTCTTCATTTGGCATCTAGAAAAGAGACATTTAATTAAAATTTTGCATCAAAGAAGCATTGTCATCATTCATCCATTCATTCATTCACTCAACAAACTTCAGAGCACTGGCGCTAGCGCTGGTGGCCAACGTGCATAAGACTCATCCTTGTCCTCACCGAATTTCCCCATGCAGGAGGAGAGATCGGACAGCGACGCAGAGGACTGACCCCTCAGGAAGGGCACTGAGTGCAAACCTAGGGTTTGGGACTTCAATATTGAAGAGTTTCATTGAGAGAATGACGTGATCTAATTTGCATTTTAGAAAAGTCATCGGGGTGGACGTATGGAGGATAAACGGAAGCAGGCGAGGCTGTAGGCAGGGAGACCAGCGAGTCCAGAGGAAGGTGGTGAGGGTCTGAGCTAATGCAGTGGCCACAGAGGCGAAAGGAGACTGGCTAAGCCTTGGCGTCACACTGAATGTTGTGTGCTGGGGCATGGGGCACGTGGACACGCAGTAGGGTGACACGGTCAGGGCCACAGGTCTCAGTCAGGCGGGCCTGGGCATGACGCGGTCGGCAGGCACACACTTCCCGGTGCTAATCCCGCCTCTACCACTTAAAAGCTGGGCGAGCATCTAAATCGCCTAAACCTCAGTTTTCTCCTGTTCAAAATGAGGACCATCAAGTGGTTGTGATGCTTACATGAGAACATGTATGGAATGTGTTTAGCACAGCGACCGATAATAAATATCCTGAAGACGGATCATTAAGAGGATGCCTGCCCTGGGTGAAGGAGAAGAAGAAGCATTTTGTCGGGAGAGGGGCTGGATGCATTCCCTCTTCACAATATTGACTCTGAAACACCCAAATGCTCTGGGGTACCCAAATGGGCATGTCCAGCAGACAGGTGGGCGCGCGTGCGGGCAGCTGATGACAGGGGTCTGAGAAGAGAGACGAGAAGCCATCACCTCCTAGAAGGTCGGCGGAAGCCCCGGCACAGGTGAGGCTGAGGCGTTAAGGCTGAGACAAGCACGGAGCCCACGAACGGAACCCAAGAGAACACCGCCATTGGACACGAGTCGGGGAGAGAAAGAGGAAACCCACGAAAGAAATGGAGAAGGTGTAATCAGAGGAGATATCTATGAAGCGGAGGGGGAGGGGGGCACCTCAGAAACCAGGAGGGAGCTATCAACACTCAGATACGTCAGCAGGAGAGGACCAACACAACCGAAGCGCAAAGGGACACGTCTGGGGTGTTCCTGATGACTGCCACGGGAGCGGACAAAGTGGAGGCAGGGAGGGTTGACGTCAAGGGACAGCAAATGAGACGTGAGGAAGTGAAGGGACTTGTCTGCGGAGAGGACACTGAGGAGTGAGTGGACACAAACTTAGAGTGGGTGACGATCGCCCCACTGACAGTTTGTTCATTCTTCTCTGTCCTGTTCTTCTTTTTTTTTACTTTTAATTTTTAAATGTCAACTCATTTATCCATCCCTACCCATCCCATTCTACAAGGGCCTCGGGATCCCTTGGGTCATTTCTGCAGTGCGTGAAAGGTGTCTCGGGGGGCGGGGGGGGGGCCCTCGCCACCAGGACATGAGTCCGGTCGCACTGCAAAATATCTCCCCATCTTGACCAGTGTGGAGGATTCATGGCCACCTGAGAACAACCTTCAACAAGGAAAAAGGCTTCACGGTAGTTTCAGAAGGCGGACGGTTGGCAATGAGCCTGGGAAGGAGGCATCCAGGCCTGACCCGGTCCTCCGGCACAGAGGCCATCCTTGCGGACCGGCAGCACCGGTAACCGCCTGTGATTCACGCCCTGCTGGCTCTGCCTTCGTGCTGGAGCAGCCGGGAGGCAGAGATGACTCAGCGGGGACGTGTTCAGGTTTTTCATTGACGAGACAAGGGTTCTATTGTCAAGCTTTTTGTTTCTCTAAAGAAAGTCTTATTCTCTGCTCACAGTGCTGCTCTTCAGAGAAACAAAAGGAGGCTTATGTGGTATCAGATGCCTAAAAAAATCACCTGCTGGGGAGCAAAAGCATACTGTGAGCCCCAGCGGTTGACTCTTTCGGTCTGTGCCAGGCATTCTGCTAAGCTCCTTACACACAGCTCTCCACAGTCAGCCTGCGAGGAAGGTACTGTGACCGCCCTCCTTTCACTGATGAGGAAACGGATGAGATACCGACGTGTTAGGTGGGTGCCCAGGCCCTCACGGTTACTAATTTGAACCCAGGCACCAGGGCCCCAGGGCTCACCACCTCTGCACTGCCCTATCACACCAGTAATTTTACCCCCAGGCACTCCTCTATTTGAACTCTTTTAAAGATACATACTCTTAGAAAGGGTTTTAAATATTAGAGACTACCAACAGCACATGCTTCCTGGGAGCAAAAGCTGGAAGAGGTCGGTTTTCTGATAAAAAGTGAGAGGAAAACTATCTCGAGAAAAGTGGAAAGCTCGGGAGACAAGAAAGACACAGAACAGGGGAGTGCAGGAGGGCAGCTACCAAACACATGTTTCCAACTTTACGATGTAACTGCGCCCATCCCCGGCCTTGGGTCGGCTGAACTGGCTATGGAGGGTAGAAGCCAGGCCCCAGGAAGGGCATGGTGCATAGGTCTCTCTCCGGACGCACACAGGATCTTCTCCCACGCCAGCCTGTCAAGAGAAGTGGTCAGACCTGGCCGATGCTAACACTGGTCAGATCCAGAGGGAGATTCCTGCAACCCTCGTTTAAACGCAGATGCCGACAAAGAGTTTCCCCCTTGACCAAGCTCGCCTGAGGCTCTTCTGAGCTTTATCTCCGCTGGCCCTCGACTTCCGACTTCCACGGCCATCTCTGCGTTGTCCAGTGTGAGCAAGAAACCTGCTAAGTCGGTTTGGCCGTCCTTGCTCTCTGGTCCTCATCGGACACCTTGCCACGGTCCTCATCCTGCACCCCAGCTGGGCTCTGAGCAGCCTGGCCTGCCTTCCGCAAGAACCCTGGGAGTCCCTTTAGGCAGGATCCCTGTTCACCCCTGCTGTTTCCTCTTGGTAATTTTCCACCTACTCACACCCCCACCCCACCTTTCCTTGCATTCGGAGCTGAGTCCAGTTTCCCTCCCCCTCTGCAAAGCCCCATTACTGTGGGCCCTACAGGTACCTGTCATGAACAGTCTGACAAATGGCTGCCTTGACTTTCTGGGACAAATGTCATGGATAATTTTGCCTCTAACAGCCTCCCATGGGGAGCTGAGGAAGGCCCCACACATCGCAAGAGAGTCAGACGACTCCCTGGCCAGGAGAGGGGGCGGGAAAGCATGGCCTGAGATATCGCGGGCTGTGGCCTGGGTCTGGCAGAAGACACACACCAGCGGGCTGTGGGCAGAGCAGACGAAGGGCTGAGACCTACACAGAGGCCCAGAGTCAGTATGCCGTCCTGGGAATGGTGCTGGGGTCCACTCCCTGTGGCATCAGGCTCCTCTGTGCTTTCCCTGCTGCTGAAACCTCAGTGCAGGTTGTGGGCCCAGAGCTCCTTGAGAACACATTATGGTCAGTGTCCTGACGAGTCAGTTGGGACAGAACCCTCAGGCACAGTGAGTCCCTCTGAGCCTGGAGCCAAGGAAGCAAAGCACCCCTGATGGGTGTCCCCAGACCTGCCTGCCACTGGGCAGGGAGGTGATGGGGGGGAGATACGCTTACCTGAAACAATTTCATAAAAACTTACCTTTCATTATTTCTTAGCGGAAAAAATAGTAAATCTGCTAAAAATTCCATAATTTCTCCAACTAGCATGTTTTTCTCCCCAAACAAACTTCTCCTGATATTTAGGCCGTCTTGAAGTTTTGTTTTTGCAAGAGAACTGTTTCCAGCAGCAAATCTGAAAATAAAACACACGTGTCACTCACCGGGCATGGTGAGCGTTGGCTATGTTCATTGTGCTTCCGACACTAATCCTCACAAACACCCTGGGTTTTGTGTGCGAGGGCACAAAACAGCAGAGCGCTTCCCAACCGTAGAGATGCAAGACCTTCAAAGTGATTTATGAGAAAATGTGTGTCTTCATAAGAAACCAGAGCACTATTCCCAGCCTCAGCACTGCTGACATTTGGGGCCGCATAATTTGCTGAGGGGGGCTGTCCCTTGCAGTGTAGATGTTTAGCAGCATCCTTGGCCTCTGCCCACCAGATGCCAACAGCAACCCCCAGTCACGACACAACACTGTCTGCAGACACCAGCAAAGCTCCCATGGGGGGCAAGGTTGCCCCTGGTTGAGACCCGCTGACCCAGAGGATGGAAATACTTCAGTTCAGCTATTCTTAACCCAGCCAGTGAGGCGGGAAATGGATTCACGAGTGTGAGTTTAGTATATCCATCATAACAATAAAAGCTAGTAGAGAAAACAAAAAGATTCTCAAGAGAAAAAAATACATGTTTACATCAGAACACCTTCGGTGTATTTCATGGTGGCCTGGTCGCGGGGGTGGCCGTCCAGCAGGCAGGAAGTGTCGGCCGCGCATTCCACGATGCGGTTTTCCTTCAGGTACTCCTCGGGCGCCGACTTCGCCAGGTTGTTCAGGACTCTGCCTGCAGGGAAGACATTTTTGCAAAGAAGAGGATACTTAATGCTTCCTTTTCCACAAAAGAGATAACAAGACAATAGGCAGAACATTGAATATCATTTCCTCATCACTGCCAATAGGGATTTTTTTTTCCCTTAATAAATCAATGACTGGCCTACGCACCATGGGGCTTGGTTTTCACATGACATATTTGTGTGTGTATAGCCATTATTGGGCCAAAGAGCTAAGACAATAGATTGAAACCAAATTCTGAGTCTGTTTTGCAAATGAACAGGTCAGAAACGGGGTGACAGAGGTAGTGACCCCGGTTGTCACTGTGATAAGGAGTCCTGCAGAGGGCGGCCAGTGCGAGAAGAAACAGTACAATGGTACAGCCTCGGGACTGCAGGCACGTGACTCACTCAGCCCCACACACCCAGGCGGTCAGGCCTGGGCTCCGCCTGGACCCACAGCACCTTGAGAAGTGCCCTCTGCAAAGGCCAGCATTTTGATCCCTCTATTGAGAATTATATATTCTGACAATAATACAGACTTCTGAAAAGTAAAAAGTGTTTTCTTCTGTTTATGATTACTTTTAAACATGTTTGTAATTTATTTTTCTTTCTTCTTTTTAATCTTCACCCGAAGACATGTTAAGAGATAAGAAGGGAGAGAGAGAAACATCTATCAGGTGCCTCCTGTATGTGCCCTGACTAGGAACTGAACCTGCAACCTTCTGGTGTTTGGGATGACACTCCAACCAACTGAGCCACCCGGCCAGGACAGGACGTGTTTTCTAAGCTACGCTTTGTTGGGAAGAGAGAAAAACGTGCTAAGGTTCCCAGAAGGTGTTGTTGCAGCACTACTACTCATAAAGAAAAGCAGATTCAACTCTCCGTGGGATGAATCCAGTCTTAATTACAAAGGACTACCACTGAATTGTCAAGAAGCCTCTTTCCTATCGTCAGTAGTACCTCACTCATGGACCAGTGCCCACTGCTCCCCTCCCCTGCCATCCACCCGGGGCCTCCCACTTTGCACGTGGGCAGGGAGGGACACCCACGTACCTGGCCTCCCTGTGTCCACTCTCACTCACCGTGAAACCCATCCTCCATACAGCAGCAAAAGTGATCTCAAAACACAAATCAGATGACATGACGCACCCTGACTCCTGGCAATGGCTTCCCCCTGACACTGAGAATAAACTCCAGATGCTGGGACCAACTGAAGGCAGCACAGAGCGTGCTGTGCCAGTCCCGAAGCTGGGCCTAGCTTCTGCTCTCCCTCCGGGGATCCTGCCAGCCACCACTCCAACAGGCCAGGCTACCCCCCTGGAGGAGGAGGGACACGTGGCCCAGACACCCCCGTCCCCTCAGCTGGACAGCCACCAGACCTCTAAGTGGAGCCCGCTCCAAACAGCCAGCCCAGTGGCCCTGCCAGCTGATCGTGGGTACTTGCCAGAGCCCACCCTGGACTGGGGGAACCCCGAACCCCACAAAGGCCCATGAACAATAATAAACAGCTGCTATTTTAAGCTGCTGAGTTGTGAGTGGTTTTGATATAGCTGCTTAAATCAAACGTAGGTCTAGAGTCCTTTAGTTTAGTAGGACTGTCAGTCACAGGGTCAAAAATGTTTAATATCTCTCCCACTGAACATTCTTTTTCTGTATTAGTGGTGTTGCAGTGGCCTCCAGCATAAAATAATGCCTTAACTGCATGCAAGGCACTGTCCCGTGTGCTTTACAGTTTCCTGTGAACACCTCCAGTCTCATCACAACGTGCTGTGCACATGCTATTTTTATCCCTCCCTTACACACAGGAAAACTGGGACCAACCCTGGGACCCAGAAAGGTTAAGTCCTGACCCTGAAGGTGCAGAGCTAGGAAGTGGAGAGGTAGGATTCGAACCTAGAAAGGTTGGCTCAGAGGCGAACTCTGGATTTCCAGTTTACTGCTCAGAGCCTTCCTTCCTGAAGCTCATCACAGCAGCCTCCGTCGTTCTAAAGGGGTGGTCGGTCACCCGAGGAGTGCTTTCTGGTCAACCCTCACACATCCACCCACCTGCCAAAATAATCCGACACACAAAGCCACACTTCACTCCCCTTTCTTTGTGAGTGAGCCTCGCCTGGGAGTCTGACCCTGAAACACAAGAGGTTACGCCCTCCGCACATACCCAACCAACCTTTTTGCTTCACCAAGTCCTGGTTGTCTTTTAGGTCGCTGGGCGAAAATTCCATCAGCCTCAACCATGCTTTGTTGAAATACTGGAACCCTTCCTCGGTCATCCCTATTTCCAGGTAGAGCTCCCCCACGGCGGTCTGGACTTTGAGAAGCATGTCTGTGGTGCTCTGACTCTGTAGAAAATGAGGACACCATCCCTGAGGGGACGCAGCATTAGGCCGGCCGCCACAACCCCCCCCCAAGAAAGGCTCCTTTCTTAATAAACTTGAAGAAAACTGTATGCTTCATATCATTTTTCAGGGATGTCTAAACATTTATGAAGTGTTGATGATAGGAAAGCATTTATTGGGAGACACTGCAAACTAAAAATAAATCTTGGAAAATGTTTTCCCTGGTTGTTAGTGGTAATAAAATTTTTGAAGATAGGAATAATGTGACAACGTCTTGCAGATGTTAAAGGTCCCAGCCGTTTAAATGTTTAAAATGTATCATCATCCTTTCCACATCCAGCTTTCCCTCTGGCTTCCCCCACTTCTGTTGACCAGATTCAAATCCTCAGGGTTTGCTTGGTTCATCCCATGGCCACTGTCATGGCCAATCAGTCTGAATGGGGCAGAACCGCCCCCTGCAGTCACAGGGCGGCTGACATCCCCCAACTCATCAACAGGCCGCCATGGTCCTTCCAACCCTGAGTCTCACCGCCCCTACCACCAGGAACACCAATCAGCCAGTGAAATGCAGTTGGAGCTAGTCTGCTTCCTCTCTCTGAAGACAGGCCTTATACTCTCCTCTTACTCCAGACCTTCTACTTCCTGAGGGCAGGGGGCCCACAATCCACGCACCAGGCTCCGGGCTCCGGGCCCGAGGGCAGTCAGTAAAGGTTTGCTGACATTCACAGTGATTGCAAAGCACAGATTCCATTTGCTTCCCAGGCTGCAGACTGAAGTGGCCGCCACCCTCTGTGGAGCACGGGCCGAACTACGCTCCTGCCATGCCTGACCTTGACGGGTGTTTACGGAGACTCTTGGACACAGGGGTTATTAGTCCTCTGCTGCAGTTTTGGGAAACAGAGGCTCAGTGAGGGTAAATAAGTCGCCCAAGCTCACATGGTTCACAAGGGGGAGAACAGAGGCATCCCACCCAGAGCTGCCTAAGCCAAAGCTCTCTTCTGTGCATTTGCTTAACAAAGGAACCTCTGACACAAAAACCCTTTGGTTTCCTGCTGCCTGGGGCACCTCCTGTGAAACAGTAGGGGAAAGAGTAGCAAGACCTGCTTTTGTAACAAACGTAGCTTTTGTAACAAACGTACCATTTAAATCAGGGTTTCTCAGCACTGACGTTTGGGGCAGGAGACCTCTGGGCTGCGAGGGCCGCCCTGTGAGTTGTAGGGTGTGTAGCAGCACCCCTCACCTCCTCCCACTAGAGGCTGGCAGCACCCCCACCGAGCTGTGACAACCAAAAAGGTCACCAGCATTGCCAGGTGTTCCCGGGGGGACAACACTGCCTCCCAGTAGAAAACCCCTGCATTAAAATTTTAAAATATCCTAGGCTGAAGAAAGTTTAAAAGTGGTATACAGGATGTATGCATCACAAATAACAAGATCTGTTATCAGGCACGTATTTCTTCTTTATTAGACTTTATTTCTTTATTAGAGAAAGGGAAGGAGAAAGAGTGTGAGAGAAACATCAACTGTTTGCCTCTCGCATGTCTCAAACTGGGGACATGGCCTGCAATCCACGCAGGTACCCTGACGGGGAATCGAACCAATAACCTTGCAGTTCTCAGGCCAGTGCTCAACACACTGAGCCACAGCAGCCAGGGCCTCAGGCACATATTTCAAAGAAGCTGTGATTGCCCAAAATAGTTTTAGAACTTCTCTTCTGGAAGTGCCTGCAGAGCCTAAAGAAAATTCTTATAATAGTCTCCATGGTGGCTAGTCTCAGAGACCTGTCTGAAAACTATTTTGAGAATGGGATCCTAAGACCCATGCCTCCGGAAGGAGTGCAGAGAGGAGTCCCCCTCTCTGCATGCCTGAGCTTCGGCACGCGCCTGCGAAGCCGGCCAAGCCGGCCGTATCCCGTCACGGCCAACGTATTCCACAGGCTGGGCTTCACCACTAATGTCAGTGTGGGCATGGGCTTCCAGCAAGAGGGGGAGTCCACGCTGGCAGACGCTGTGCCTGCCCGCCTCGTGGCTCTCTCCCCACCTCCCAGCACAGTGCTCGGGCTAGGCGAGCCCCTGCGTGAATGTCCGCTGAGCGAAAGGCTGAGTGAATGACGCCACAGTCAGATGCTCACTGATTACCTAACACAATGACTAGTGTTTTCCAGACACACACATGTCAGTGATGAGAACCTGGACCTCGTGGGGAAAAATCACCTGGTAAGGGGGAAATCCCACAACCATAATAAGACACCAGAGAATCACTGGGCTGTACTCTCTAAAAGATGAAAGAGGGGTCAAAATAGCTTCAATCAAACTCTTAATATATATAGCCTGGGCTTCAATTACTTTATAACCCATAGACAGTAATAACAAAATGGCTACTCGTTCTTGACACCTCGCTATGTGCCACACGTTGTGCGAAGTGCTTTGTGCCCTGTCTCCGCCAACCTGGTCACAGCCCCAGGAGACGGGCCGCAGAACCCTCAACAATGAGAACTCCCTGAGTCAGGGGTGAGCATCCTTGCCAAGGCCCCACGGCAGTGAACGCCGCAGAGCTTTAAATCTGGGTCAGTCTGCAAACAGCCCGGGCTCTGTTCACTGCTCCATGCTTCCTTCTAAGGACACAGAGTATTTGCATATTCAAATGGGCTCATTGATACAGTTATCACATTTCTTAAGCGCCCAGAGGTTGTCCTGTGCCATAGAGGATACCAACATTGGTAGATGAGAATGGTCTCTGCTGTTATGGGACTTGCACAGTTGACTCTTAATAAACCTTGTTAGGTGGAATTCCTTGTGCAGAGCTGTGGGCCAGGGGGATTGGAGGCAGTCTTTCATGAAAACCTGAAGGCATTTGCTTTAAAATAAAGACAGCCTTGTCTTGGATTACACTGTATTTGGTCCACAAATAATACTGAAATCAGTAAAAATTTAGAGTTTTCTTAAAGGGCAGTTAAATGTCGTCCTAAGCATGGCTAAGAGTTATATGAGTGAAACTTTCATTGTGTTCAACAAAGCCGAAGGTTCATATTTCTGAAAAAGCAAATCAATATAGATAAGATAATCGATCAACTTTCCCCAACACTTTATGAAAAGTGCAATCAAGTCTGCAACCAATCTTTTATTAATTCACTTCAGTCCACCACTCAGCTTCCCCTTCTGCTGGAAGGACATTCCTCCCCCCCGCCCCAAATGAGGCCTGTTGCTAGGCATTTGTTCTATATTGACGCCCATCTATTTACTGCTACTTGTCATTCATATACAGTTTAGGGCATGGATTAAAGTCATTGCTTCCTCATTAATGAACTTAATTCATTGATTTCTCCATTTGTGGGCTACATTGAAAAGGAACACAGGTCAATGATATCTAAAAATATCTAACAAAATAATAAAAGGAATAATGCTTGAAGGGTTCAGTGAAATAAGCCAGTCAGTGAAAGATAAATACCATATGATCTCACTTACAAGTGGAATCTAGTGAACAAAATAAACTAACATGCAAAATAGAACTGGAGGAATGGACACAGGACAGACTGACAGCCATGAGAGGGGAGGAGGCAGTGGGGCTGGTGGAAAGAAGGGGGAGGGATTAGTCAAAGAGCAGAGATGCAGGACCCACAGACACAGACAACCGCGTGGGGATTGGCTGAGGGAGAGTGGGGCGGGATGGGTGGAGGGGGACAAAGGGGGGAAAATTCAGACAACTGTAATAGCTTAAACAATAAAATATTTAAATGATTTTTAAATCTACCTAAGAGGTTCCCTTTCAAAAAAACAAAACAAGCACCCTGGCTGGCGTAGCTCAGTGGATTGAGTGCGGGCTGGGAACCAAAGTGTCGCAGGTTCAATTCCCAGCCAGGGTACATTCCTGGGTTGCAGGCCATAACCCCCAGCAACCGCACATTGATGTTTCTCTCTCTCTCTCTCTCTCTCTCTCTCTCTCTCTCTCTCCCTCTTTCTCTCTCTCTCCCCTCCCTCCCTCCCTCTCTAAAAATAAATAAAATCTTAAAAATAAAATAAAATAAAATAAGTTCCCACATCACCTGCATTAACATGCTCTCAACACTCAAGAACAACTCTTCCGCTTCTTTGGTCTTGCCCATCAGCTTCAAAAATCTTGCAATAAAGAATATTAGTCGGCACTTGTCTGTGGCAGTGGCCTCCAGAGGCCCACATTCCAGCACTGGAAGAAAAGGAAAAGCAAATAGTCCTAAATCACACTGGAAGAGAACAAAGAATCCCTGTTGCTGCCTCTTGGTACAGGAGTTAAATATATTACCCATATTTTAGTGTAGCTCTCTCAAGGGATCAGCACTTTGCTTTTATTAAGGCTTACTTATATTACCAATTATTTTAAACAATGACATGAAAAATAACTCTAATGGTTTTAAATCACCTTGGTATGTAAATTTTGAAAACCAGAGGGTCGAAGAAGAGTATTTCTATAGCTCAATCTGAAAATCGCCGTAATTTGTATTTGGGGGTGCTTTTCAAGCAAGAAGAAAGAAAGTGTTTCAATACCTTACCCAATTCTGCCCTCTGTTGCAACTATCTTGAATTGTTCTTTCTTTAACAGAAAGTACAGAATGTTAAAAGAACAAAATAAGGAACATACTTTGTGTGCATGTGTGTGTGTGGTTATATCTTACTATGCACAAATGAAAACATATAGACTTTTTGAACTTGAAGGCCCAATTAATACATGGTACTTCAAAGGCATCATTTTCAGAATTCTCTTCCCAAATGTCCCACTAGCTGAACCTCTACATTTACCCATCTGTTACATTTCAAATTATCGCGCCTAATGTGTTTGATACCACTCTGCTCCTTGGTCCACATTCGCTCCTCTGCACGAGCTGTAGGCCACCCAAACCCGAGTCCCCTCCTGCTTTCTTCCTGCCAACTTTTCCGTGGATCACCATCCATACACGGAGTAAATATTTACTGAGCATCTATGTGGGAGAGGGCATTCTAGGTCCATCAGCACAGCAGATGAGGTTGCAGCCCTCAGCCTGCAGGGATGCTGGGAGGCTTTGAACCGTAGCTAAAGAGCCTCAGGCTAGAGCACAAAAAACGAAATCAGAGTCCAGGGAGAGTGAGCGCTGAGGGTCCAAGAAGTTTGTCCACGGTGGCTGTCCAAGTAAAGGGGCCCGAGGTCGGACTGAGAACTGAGGAGTTAAGTCAAGCAACAGGGAACCTCGGAACTCTAAGCAGCTGCTCAGAGTGGGCAGACAGGGATGGTCTACACAAACAGCCAAGGAATGCGCTCCTGCCCACGGCCAGGCTTTTGAACATTCCAGAAGGATCGTTGGGTCCAGATTCCTGCCAAGGGCTCAGGCGGGACTGGACAATGCCCACCACTATGTTTAATACTCAATTCAACATTCCATGTGCTCCAAGAAATTTTCATTCACAAACCTTGCTTATTCTCATTGACCGCATCCTCACCTTCACTCACTTAGCACCAGAGTAGAGTTGCAATCGATGAGAAAGTAATTTTTCTTTTTATAAACCTAATATGTGCACATTAGGAAAAATTGAAAAATATAGAAAAGTACAAAGAAAAATTAAATTCCCTCATAATTGCATCATTCAAAGATAATCTCCATTAACCTACAGCTGTAGATATTTCTGATCTTTTGTGTGTGCCCACACTAATTTTTTAAAATTAAAGTTGGAATGTGGTGATCGCAGTGGGGAGAAGGGTATAAGGGGACTAAATGGTAATGGAAAAGAATACAAGAAAAATAAATAATTTTAAAAAACCATTTCAACCTGGCTGGCGTAGCTCAGTGGATTGAGCGCGGGCTGGGAACCAAAGTGCCCCAGGTTCGATTCCCAGCCAGGGTACATTCCTGGGTTGCAGGCCATAACCCCCAGCAACTGCACATTGATGTTTCTCTCTCTCTCTATCTCCCTCCCTTCCCTCTCTAAAAATAAATAAATAAAATATTAAAAAAAAACATTTCAACCCTCAAAAACTTATTAACTAACTAAAGTTGGGATCATCTGATACATAATGTTTCATGCCTGCTTTTTGACCTCCATATTCAACATCGATATGTCCATTCCACACTGGATGGTGAATAGATATTGAACATAATATTCATGGTTCCTGCCCTTGCATAGCTTCTAAGCTATTGGAAAACACCTTGTAAATATTTTTCCACAACCTTAAAAATTGTTTGAGGATACACATACTTATGACTGGATCGTATTCCATTTTACAGACTACCATTGGCCAACTCTTCAGTATTATAGAATCTCATCCAGTGAGACTTCCTGGCAGAAATCTTTTTAAACCTCCCCATTTTCTTAGAGCAGCTACTGGAAATTTAATAACCCTCAGGATATTAATCTTTTTAAGACTTTCAGTATATATTGCCAAATTGTCCCCAGAATGATTGTGCCAATTTAAACTCTTCTTGTAGCATGAAAAAGTACCTATTTCCTCACACCTTTACCAATATTATTACTATTTTAAAAATTTCACTATACAAAACATCATTGTCAGTTTGGTACCTGAAAAATATCACCCTATTTTAATTTGCATTTGAAACAGAATATTGTATTTATTAACAATTTATGTTCTTCATCAACTCTAAGCACCATCAAGTGCAAATCTATCCCTATTTCAGAAATGTTCAGTTTCGAGAAAGCCTCCTTCTTAGAACCAGTGGAATCTGGTATTCATTCTTTAGTGAATTCAATCCTCCAACAACAATTTGCTGAGCACTTTGAGTACCTGCTATGGGCCAAGCACTGTCCTGGGCAAGCCTGACCAGACCTGGGCCCGGCCAACTGGGTTGTCAGAGGGCCGGGGGGACTGACCATCACATAATCATGCAGCTGCATATACATGCAAACTATGAAAAGAACCATGAAAGAGATGGTGGTATGAATTCAGGAAGGGTTTCCATGGGTTGGAAACTGATCTGAGAGTTAAGAAAAGAATAGAAGGTTTTGAGGCAAAATGAGGGAGAGGGTGTGGGAAATTCTGGACAGTGAAAAGGATGCATGCAAAAGCCATAGGGCAGGAAAAGAGCATGGCCTTTAGAGAACTGAAGGGTGGAGACTGCAGAGCAGAGACAGCATGGCGTTTGGTTCAAAGTCAGGATGGAGACATAGGGAGGAGCCATTCAGCAGCCAGACCATGCCTGGTGCTGCTCCGGGTGCTGGAGATACAGTGGTGAGCCCGAGAGGCAGGGTCCTCCTCTCAAGGAGCTTACATTCCAGTGGCTGGGCGGATAGGGGGCAGGGGAGAGAAGAGCAGAGGGACAGAAAACAAGACGAAGTCAAGTAGCAGCAAAAGCTATGCAAAGAGTTTAAATACGCTAACATGATCTAGAATGACAATTGTAATATTAGATTGAGAAGCCACTCTGAGAAAGTGATAACCAGAAAGAAGTCGTACAACAAATGAGTAGGTAGAGTCTTTCTGGCAGAGGGAGCAGCTGCTGCCAAGGCCCAAAGGCAGAATATAATTGAAGGACAGAGAGAAGGCCAGGGTAGCTGGCATCTAGAGGTCAAGGGGAAGAATCCGACAAATGATGCTACCCAGACATGCAGGGGCCATGCGAGGCATTGCAGGCTAAGCTGAGGAATTTAGACTTTAGAATTAGTGCCATAGCAAGCCATTGGAGTGGTCTTCCTCTGCGAGGTGACAAACCTGGTTTACATTCTTAAGAGCTCATCCTGGCTACTTAGCAGACAATAGACTTTGTAGGAACAAAAATGGAAATAGCAAGACGCTTGGAGACTGTTACAATAGGCCAGGAGAGAGGGGAGGGGGGCTGGGGCTCACTGCTGGGCTCAGGATGTCCCCTCTCATCGCTCCTACTCATCATCATACCAGGAATCCTAGCCAGTGCAGTAAGACAGGAAAAGGAAGTAAAGAAATATTCGGGAAGAAAAAATACAATGGTCTTGGTTCACAAAAGATATGACTGTCTATGTAGAAAATCCAAAATAAAATAAAATAAAATAAAGTCAACAAAATACTCCTGGAACTAATAAGCAATTATAACAAGGTTAATATACAAAAAGCCAATTGTTCTGTGTACCAGCATTGAACAAGTAGAATTAGAAATTTAAAACACAATGTCATTTATTGTAGCAACCCCAAAATAAAGTACTTAGGTAAAAAATCTAATAAATCCGTACGTGGTCTATATGCAAAATCTATGAAACTCTGATGAAAATATCAAGGAAGATTTTTAAAAACAGAGAGACATCCCATGTTGATGGATTGCAAGACTCATCACTGTTAAGATGTTTGACCTGTAGATTCACTGCAGTCTCGATAAAAATCTTCTGTGATGTCCAGCTGATCTTTGACATAGTAGCAAAGACAATTCAATGGAGATAGCCTAATTGATAAATGGTCCTACAACAATTACACATCCATGTGCAAAAAAAGGATCTAGACACAGACCTTACACCTTTCACAAAAACTACTCAGAATGGATCCTAGATCCAAACATAAAATGAAATACTATAAAACTTTCAGAAGAAACATGGAAGAAAAGCTATGTGATCTTGCATCTGGCAATGGCTTATTAAATACAACATCAAAAGCATAACCCATGAAAGAAAATATTGTGTTAAGACTTTATTAAAATTTAAAACTTTTGCTCTGTGGAAGGCATAGTAAGGAGAATAAAAAACACAAACGACAGAATAGGAGAACATTTTTGTAAAATATGTATCTGATAAAGGACTTTTATCCAAAATATACAAAGAACTCTTCAACCTTAACAATAATAAAGATGCCGAGCAAAATAAGCCGGTCAGAGACAGACAAACACCGTGTGATCTCACTCATATGTGCAATCTAGTGGACAAAATAAACTGACAAACGAAATAAAGACAGAGGCATGGATACATGGAACAGACTGACATCTCAGAGGGACGGGAGGCAGGGGAGACAGGAAGAGATTAGCCAAAGAAGACGCATACGTCTACGCATAGCCCACGGACCCAGACGACAACGTGGTGAAAGTCAGGGGTGGAGGCTGCGGGGGCAGGGGGTGCACAGGGGAAGAAAATCGGGGACATCTGTAATAATGTCAGCAATAAAAATATATACAAATAAAAATAAAGATCATCTATTTTATACATTAAAAAATAATAAAGATGTTTAATGTTATTTGTCATTATGGAATTGCAAATTAAAACAACTAT